ATTTATGAATCAAAAGTTCATCCAGGATATCTGGTATCTGGATATTTTCAAAAGAAATCTTTTAAGAGATTAATAGACCATAACAAACTATATGATTGTCATCTATATGATGGTGAACTTTTAAAGAACGAGTATTCAGATATTTACATATCCATGCTTGCTGCAGCATTATTCACAATAGCCAAAAAGGAAAAAGTGCCCAAGGGCCCACAGTTGTATGAATGGATCACAGTACATCATATATATGTACATACAGACAGGAATATTATTCAGCATTAAAAAGGAATAAAACTGGCATACACTACCACACAAATAAACCCTGACGACATTATGCTAAGTGAAATGAGCCAGTCATATGATGACAAATGGCAACACAGAGAAAACAATTCATAGAAAAATAAAGTAGAATAGTGGTTGCCAGTGGTTAGGAGAGGTGAATGGAATGGTTATTTAATGGGTAAAGAGTTCCAGTTGAAAATTTAGAAGTTCTGGAAATGGATGGTGGTGATGCTTATATAACAATGTGAATGGATTTAAGGTCACAGAATTATACATTTAAGAAATATTAAAACAGTTAAATATTATTCTATGTATATTTTACCAGAATAAGAAAGGATATAGCTGAGTAACAGTCTGTAAAACTGAATATCTTTAATTACAAACTAAAGCAATGAATAGCTAGATACTTTAACTTTTAATGATACCTATAACTGAAATCTTTATTTCACTGTAATTTTGCTCTGCTGCTCCCTCATTTAACAACTCCCCAAGGGCCTAGACTGACTTATCTAACTGTATTTATTCACCTTGTGAGTTATGGATTTTATGATAGGAAGATTAGACTCCAAGAATCACCAATTGTTATGTTCAGAAAAGTTCTATTCTTCCTATAGTCTAGGCTAGAAACCAAAAAACTACAATTCCATATCACAGAGTAGTATATTTTCATAAAACGCATCTTTCTTTTATACAATAATAATGCAAGTAAACCCTATTGTAATAATTCTATACAACTTTAAATAATATACATCCTATAATCCTATCTATGGATTATATGGAATTTTAAAGATCCCCAAATTTCCAACATAACTAGAATTTTTGAAGAATTATTGATCAAGGATTTATTAAATTCATAGTAATTTTCAAGTTTATTCTTTTCATGATGAAACTAAAAACCAAATCATAAGAATAAATTTCATTTCTATTTATAGAGTCATATTTCAATGTAAATTAATCAAATTTTCAAATAGAACATATGCCTAGATGATTTGTGTGTATACACTAAGGTCAAGAGCATGGACTTTGAAGTCACATGACCTAGTTGTACCATCTACTAGATATGGGAGAGAGTAAATTATTTAAATTCTTTAATCTCAGTGTCCTCACTGTAGAAATTTAGATATTAATGTGCCATACATACATAAAGTGTCTCATTAATGTCTAACATAGTACTAGTTCTAACAATAGCATTACATGTAGAAATAAACCCACTGTTGAGTCAGACATGGATGGGAGAGGGGCTCAAAGGACCCTGCCTTCAGAAGATGGAAGCTGGAACAGGGGAGTCAGTATCTTCAGTTGTATACCCACTATGAGCCCACCAGCTTCAACGGATAGTTTTAAGCCCACGATCACACAGACAACCCTGGTGTGCTGGATAGCTTTAGTGTCATCTTGACACACGTGGGTTGAGGGAGCCTCAGTTGGGGAATTGCCTCTATTGGACTGGCCTGTGGCCATGTCTGAAGGGTATCTTCTTGATCAGTATGTGGGAGGGCCCAGCCCACTGTGGGTGGTGCCACCCCTGGGCAGGTGGGCCTGTGTTGCATAAGAAAGCAGGCTGAGCAGGGGCCAGGGGAGCAAGCCAGTAAGCAGCATTCTTCCATGGCCTGTGCTCCAGTTCCTGCCCCCAGGTTCCTGCCCTGAGTTCCTACCTTGGGCTCCCGGATGAACCTTGAGCTGGGATATGTAAGCTAAATAAACCCTTTCCTCCACAAGTTAATAGTGGTCAGAGTATTTTGTCACAGCAATGAAGAAACAAACCAGAACACCTGGTTAAACTCAGAGGGTCATAAAACAACAACAACAACAAAAAGTCATGAATGTGGGGAAGGGACTTGGAGTGTTGGGGGTATGACAGGGATGGGACAGAGATAAAAGAAGCTACAGGTTAGGGTTATCAGAACACATTATATACACACAGGAAGTTGTCCAAGACCAAATCAAATGATCAGAAAATTGCTTAAAATTCTATTTCAAGGGCCTGGAGAGATGGCTCAGTGGTAAAGAGCACTGACTACTCTTGCAGAGAAGCCGGGTTCGATTCTCAGCACCCACATGGCGGCTACAAACCTTCCTTAACTCCAGTTCCAGGGGAATCCGAAGCCTTCTTCTGACCTCAGTGGCATTGCAGGACACAGGTGCACTCACATACATGCAGGCAATATACTCATATGCATAAAATCAAAATAATAAATTTAAAAAAAATTCTAATTCAACAATACATTTCTCTACACACACAGAGAGAGAGAGAGAGAGAGAGAGAGAGAGAGAGAGAGAAAATAATTATACTGCTAGAACAGAAAAGCATCACATTGAATCAAAAACAAAAGTCTAATTACATTTTAAAAGATTTCTATTGTTTCCCTCTTCCAAAAAACAAGATTATTAATATGTTAATTAAATTACATTACACAAAAAGTGGGAAGTAAAACCAGGTGCATATGTATACGCATATAAAATATAAAATATGCACACACACATTCCTGTTTAATGTACTATATACAATTTGAGGAAGTTGTATGGAAACAACAAAAAAAATAGTTGAAAAGTAAACAGGAAAAGCCATAGACTACAATGTAGTAAGTGTAAAAAGTACAAAAATGTGGGCAATTTTCAAAGTTCAATTGTGTGAAAATTTTATTCAGTTGCATTATTGTCAGAAAAATAAATCCACAAGCTCAAAATAGTTGGTATTTTTATCTCTTTCTATTAACAGAGAAAAAGAATTTCTCATTTTCTTTAAGCAAAACCAAACTGTTACCAGTTATTATTACCTCTAAAGATTTCTAAAGTATATAATATTTGATAATTTATTCCACAATTTCATCAAAGAAGCACAAAGAATCTCTATAATAGCTCTATAATAGCTCTATACTCAGTGCTGTGTGTGTGTGTGTGTGTGTGTGTGTGTGTGTAAAACCTAACCATAGTAAAATTTATAATACTCATAAAATTAGAACAGACTTTTTTTTTACAAAACTGTGTCCCTTGGAATCCTAACTGCACAAGACACTGTGTTAGAAGGATAAAGGGACTGTAGTCAAATAAATTGAAGTCTAGAAAATGCTAAAGTCTGTATTTCTCTAGATTTATAATGTTATCTGTACAACAGGATCTGAAAATTTCTGCAATGAGCAGAAATAGTTTCATTTGTCCACAGTATTAGTATATTAGTGTATTAGTGTCTCCCAAACTTACTGGGCCACATATTCTTTTTGTCCAAAAACATCAAGGAGCCAGAGTGCCTCATTTTAAGTTACTTTGGAAATGTATAATAAATTGTCCATTATTATTTATTAGACCTGAAATTTCATATGTATCTGTCCTCCACACATACCAAAAGTAGTCACATAGAATTTGCTAAAGTCTCTAGAGAAGTCTATTTTATTTCATGTTGAAAAAATTCAGACATCCCTAGACTAGGATTTATAGTCTTCAGTAAGTTATATTTCTTTCCAGAACATTTCCAGAGGTCTATTTTGACCTCTTACAAGCTGTATGCTATTTAATCAAGTCTGAACACCCTGTTTCTAATACCTGTGAAAAGCTAAAAATGAATGTGTCCCTCCAAGCTATTACTTTTTTTTTCATGGGATTCACTGTAAGCTGAGAAAATATTACAGCTGTGACCTATTGCATACCTTCAAACAGGGGAACACTAAACTTAGTCATAGGATTTTATTAACTGGTGTAGTAAGTCTTCATTTATACAATTCTATAGTAAAATAATTGTTTCACAACATTAACCTTGTAGCAAAATAGCAATTGATTATTTCTTTTCCCTAACATCCCCTAAACACCTATACTAAATATATAGAGCAAAATATTGTAATTATTACTTTACCTATGGAGGTTAAGTGACTTGTCCCAAGTACCAATAATTAGCAAGGACCAATTTCTTATTGTACCAAAACAGTGTATATTACAACTATATAGTCTGTGTCAAACATTCTCCCTAAAATATGAACAAAACCTGGAAATTCCTTTACTAACAGCTAATTATTTAAGGAATTTTCTTCTTTTGAAATAATT